GAACCCAGTCTAACACATCTGACAAAGAACTTATTCCAAAATGTATAGAAAACTCCAGCATCTCAACAACAGTAAAACAAATAATCCAATTTTAAAATGGGCAGAAGACACTTCACCAAAGAGGATATTCAGGCAGCCAATCAAAACAATGATGAGATACCATCTTGCCCCAGCACTAACAGCAAAGTTCAATAAGACAGAAAATAACAAATGCTGGTGAGGATGTCAGAGACTGGGACACTCATACACTACTGTCAAATGATACAACCACTGTGGAAAGCAGTGTGGCAATTCCTTAAAAAGTTGGAATTAGAAATGTCATTTGACCCAGCAATTCCATTACTAGGTATATATCCTAAAGAAGTGAGAGCCAGGACAAAAAGTGTAGTGCGTAAGGCATTTGACTGCTAACCAGAAGGATGGCAGTTCAAACCCACTCCTTGGAAGGAAGGTTGGTCAATCTACTTCCATAGTGATACTGCCTCAGAAACCCAAAGAGGGGTCGCTATAAGTCAGATCCAACTCAACAGCAATGGGTTTGGGTATGTTCATTGCAGCATTATTTACAATAGCCAAAAGATGGAAATAATATAGGTGCCCATCAACAGAAGAATGGATAAGCAAACTGTGGTACATACACACAACGGAACACTATGCAACCCTAAAGAATAACATAGAATCTGCAAAACACTGCATAATGTGGATGAACTTGGAGAACATTATGCTGAGTAAAATAAGTCCATCACAGAAGGAAAAATATTGTATTAGTCCATTATTGTGAAAAGTCAAGGAAAGGTTTATATATGGAAGGACATTTTCTTTGTTGGTTACCACGGGTGGGAGGGGAGGGAAGAGGAGGGAACACTACTAGGTAGATAGAAACAAGTATCAATTTGGGTGAAGAGAAGGGCAATGTACCAAATGGGAGTGACCAACACGGTGGCATTGAGGAAGAGGGAGACAGAGAGGTGCATGGAAGGTACAGACAACAAAGATGAACCCTTTTGCACCTACAGTACTGCGTTGTCAGTGAAGGCAAACATGAATATACGGGTGGATAGATGGGTGGACAAGCTGAACTACTAGGTATGTCTATGAAGCAGGGAGTGTACCCAAGACCACGTATAGGGTTGGCAGACAATGGTCCTATAAGTGTATTTGTATGATCTGAATTCCCAAGTGTATAGTAGAGATGACGAAGGACAAAGTTGTAGTCACTTCTTGGCCACAGCCAGCTACCCAGAGGGAACAAGTAGTTCAACCTGTGGGCTCGGGACCATAGTCGCAGGGGACATCAAGCTCAATGGGTATAACATACTACACAAAAACATTGTTCCACATCCTACTTTGGTGAGTAGGGACCGGGATCTTAAAAGCTTGCAAGCAGCCATCTAGATGCAACAATGGGTCTCTCCTCGTCCATAGCAAAGAAGAGTGAAGAAAACCAAAGATGCGTGGAAAAAATTAGTGCAAAGGACTGACTGGTACACCATGCTATCCTCAGCCTATAAGATTGAGACCAGAAGGACTAGATGGTGCCTGGCTACCAATGTCAACCATTCAGAAGGGATCTATGTAGAAGATCCTGGATAGAGTGGGAAAACAATGTGGAACAAAATTCAAAAGCACCAAAAAAAACTAAAAGGGTGAGGTTTGCTAGTCTGACAGAGCCTGATGGAACCCCTGAGACTATGGTCCCTAGCTGCCCTTCAGGTCTGGAATTGAACCCACTTCTGTGGCTTCCAGCCAAACAAAAATAGGCATATGAGCTGAACATTTACATTAGGTAGATACACTCCTTGGAGAGATCAATCATGGGAGAATAGAAGGGCTGTGTATGCACAGGGAGACAGCTTGGGGCGCAGGAGTGCATGGAGGGAAGGACACAGGGAAGAGGCGGCTATAGGGAGGAAATGGGAGGAAAGCTGTTGCATTGTGGGAAATTACAGTCAATGTCATGAGACAAAGTGTATGTGAATTGCTATATGGAAGATGAATTTGCTCTGTAAATTTTCAGCCAAATAATAATAAAATTCAAAAAACAAAAAAACTTGTGACTGACCAGCTAAGGTGCAACTATTGGTCTCTCCTCATCTGGAGCAAGAAGATTGAAGAAAATCAAAGACACATGGAAATAATTAATCCAAAGGACTAATGGACCACAGGAACCTCAGGCTTCATGACCCTGAGGCCAGAAGAACTAGATGGTGCCCAGCTAACACTACCAACTGCTCTGAAAGGGATCATATTAGAAAGTCCTCAATAGAGTGGGAGAAAAACATAAAACAAAACTTAGAATTATAGAAAAACAAAAATAGACCACCAGGTTTACTGATTGGATAGACTGGTGGAACCCCAGAGACTACAGCCCTTGGTCACAACTTTGGACCTGGAACTGAACACACTCCCGTAGCTCAATTTTCAGTCAAACGAAAGACAGCTCTACAAGGTGAACAATAACTCTAGGAAGGTACATACTTCTTAGTATAATAAACCATTTGAGATCAAAAGGGCAGCATTTTCCCAAGAACAAAGTTCAGAAGGCAGAAAGGGTTAGGAAAAGAGGAGGAATGGAAATGAGAAGCACAGGGAGGAAGTGGATGTTGCACTGAGGGCATTGCAATCAGTGACATGAAAAAAAAAATTACGTGAACTGTTGAATGGAAAACTGATTTGCTCTGTAAAGTTTCATCCAAATCACAATGAAAAGTTTATTTACAAAATAAAATAAGACTATCCATGCAATAGAAAACATGCGTTTCAATTACTGGCCAAAATCTTCAGATCAAAGGGTCAAGTGTGCAATAAAGAATGAACCCAGTTCAAGAGTACCTGGTAGACTGCATAGCCGATGCTGAGCATGCCCTGTCCTATCCTCTTCTGTCGCCTGCGATTTTTCTGCATCAGACCCAGCAGCACTGTGCAGCAGGGTTCAGCAGCACTCTCCTCATGGCTGTCATCCACCTCGTCCAAACGGATTTTGAACTGAGGATTGGTCCAGTAAGTGGCTGGGAGTCACTCAGGTAGTGGTGGTTCCCCCCCACAGGGGGTGAGGACATGGAAAGAATGAAATGAAAGGGAGAACCGTGATCATCCTAATGAAAGCATGAATCTTGACAAACTGTAGGAGTTCCTGGGTATTGCAAATGGTTCATGCACTCAGCTGTTAACTGAAAGGCTGGAGGTTCAAGACCACCCAAGGCACCTTGGAAGAAAGGTCTGAAAAATCAGCCACTGAAAACCCTATGGAACACAGTTCTACCGGGACACACATGGGTCACCATGAGTTAAAATTGACTCAACAACAACCAGTTAACCACCAACCTTTATGTTAGTGGTCGAGTGCAAAACATTTGTGCCACCCAGGGACCTAATGATTAAGTAAACAGTAGATAGTAAGCAGACCTTGGAAAGTGTTCTTGAAAAGATGTCAGTCATCTCCTCCTACCTCTCCACCCCTCCATGACACAAACACACACAGAGAGAAACATCCATAGCATTCATAATTTCTGCACTTTTGTTCAAGCAGCAGCCCAGGGATGGGTGATAGGGAATATTCAAGGAAGGTTGGGCAATTTACTTCCATAGTGATACTGCCTCGGCAACCCAAGGAGGGGTTGCTATGAGTCGGGTCGACTCAACGGCACATAACAACAACATGATCCCAAGTCTTCACTGTACCCTACTGGGAAAGAACCTCTGAGTCTGCCTGGGAAATTGTTAACATCTCCAGTTCTCAGCTTCCTGGTCTGTGAAGATAAATCCACCTCCTGTTGAAGGGAGACCAGAGTAAAAAATAAGGCCCTGGGACAGATGAAGACAAAGCCCCAGAAGAGACCAGCTACCAACAGGATTTCTCTCTGACAGGCTAAAAGATGACCAGCCACTCTTGCCGCCAGAAACCCCGGACTTATTGACATGTGTTTTCCCTCAGGGTGAGCCCTGCTTCAGATCACAGCCCCAGAAGGCTGGAGAGCTAATCCTCTGTCCACTGGCCCTATAGCCTCACTTGATAGCATCAGTGTTGCAATCTGTGGATGAGACACACTCTTCAAGAGTAAGTCATTTTTGTAAACTTTCACCCAAATCACAATTAAAAAAAAAAAAAGAGTCATTTAATAATGCATGAGGAATGATAATTGGCAATTAAGAAGCATTCCTGCCATCTGACCTGTGAGTATTTAAAGACTGCTTTGTTTCAAGGAAGATTTTTAAAAATCTCTCCAAATAGGGACTACACAAGTGAAGGCACAGAGAGGCCAAATGGATTATCCAAGGACACACAGCATTTCTGTGACAGGAACCCAGCAGCAGAACATAATTGAAAAAGACAAGCCTGACAGGCATTTTCCATGCTAAGGTCTCAACAAGTTCAATAATGATGTGACCTGAGGAGAGAAAGAAGGTGGGAAGAGGGAGGGAAGACTATCTGGCATCCTGTAAAAGGGTCTGACTTTGTGAAATAACAAGAGACTCACAGGTGACAAAGAGCCACTGGTTGTGGTTTCTTTTTAACTATGAAATTACTCGTTCTATTCTCCCTTCCCAAGATTTGTGGTTCCATTTTTTTTTTTTTAATGGCACAAGTATATGGATTTTAAAGCCAAATATCTGTAGATTCCAGAGGAGACAGAAAATTCTGTAATCTTCCATACTTACATCTTTACCAAGGGGCAAGAGCAATCCATCTCCTCCTGACAGCTAGCTGGCAGCACAGATGGGGTAGTGATTTGGTATCTACAGTTACCTTGGGCAGCCTCTGCAGTTCTGAGCTACCAAAACGATCTATGCAAATTTCCTATGCATTTCTAAAAGCTTACTAATGGTGAACGTATTTTAATTTCTCCCCAAATGCAACATTATTTCAATCCCTACATTTTTTTTTTTTTTTTGCTTACTCCTTAACAAAATGGAAGGAAAAAAATGCACTGTAAAAATACTTCCCAACCATGTGACACTACAATAGTTTACAACAGGAGCTCTGGTGGCATAGTGGTTAAAGCATTTGACTGCTAACCAAAAGGTTGGTGGATCAAACCCACCAGCCACCAGCTGCTCCATGAGAGAAAGATGAGGCAGTCTGCTTCTGTAAAGATTTACAGCCTTAGAAACCTGGTGAGGGTTGCTATGAGTCAGAATCAACTCAATGGCAGTGGGCTTGCTTTTGGGTTTGTTTGTTTGTTTAAAAAAAAAAAAAAAAACAGTTTACAAAGCACTTTCCTAAATATTCTGTGTTATATTGCTCACAGTGACCCAGTGAGGTTGCAAGGTAGGTCTCACTGTCTTATTTTGAGGATTAGGAAACTGAGGCTCAGAAAAGAGAAATGACAAGACAGGGTTCCTAAAGACAGGAAATTGGCTCCTTCCTCTCACCCAGAACTTATCTCTGCTGCTGGAAATGGTAGATTTGGATTGGATGGGGGATGGAGGAGGAAACTTGCCAAGACCCCAGGACTGTAGCCTTGGTGGGGTTTTTATTATAATGTCACTTCCAACTTTGAGCATAGCCCTGGATGGCCCTGCTGGGTGCTCATTGTCTGTCATCCAACATCATCAATCAACATCAAACTGGGGAGGGGGTGGGGAGGCAGGGAGGTCAAAAGTGGAGAGAGCTGGTTTTGCTTTCCTTCATTTCTCCTTAGAGAGGTGGGGTCGACTTTTGCAGTTTCTTCATTGCGGGCTGCCTCAGCTGATTCAACCTAGGAGGAGCCTGTACAGGTATTAGTGATGGTTTGTAAACTGGGGAAGGCTTCCCAACTTCAAAAAGATGAGGCCAAGATTAATGCAGAGACAAAAGTTTGCACCAAACCAAATCCACCAGATGGATCTCTGAAACTCCTAGAGTAGGGAGCATTGCCCCAGGCCCTGTGCGTGCCATCCCTGTCCACACTGTCATGCCCCTCCATCTGTGACTCAGGTGCAAATACAAAGCAAAGCACCTGCCATCATAGGTGCAGTCCATTGAAACGGTAGACACTACACCACATTCCTCCAGCACACCATTAGACACTGACCTACAGGACAATGGGATGAGGTCTCCAATGGGTTGGGTGGGGATGGTAGAAGCCCAAGAGAAGAACAGAAGGTCTCAGTATAGGGTAGGAAGAATGTGGTTAGTACAAAGAAGCTCATTCTTCAGGGGCAGGTGGGTGAAGCAATGAGGGTTTGAACACACAGTGCTTGCCACCTGAGATCAGCCCTCAGGTACACGGCTGCAGAGCCACTGCCCACCATTGTTGCCCTGGCCTCCAAGGCCAGGGAAGTAGCAGTGCCACCAGGGGGCACCCAGGAGCCAGAAAGCAAAGTCCATAGGTATTCCCCAAAGAGTCCTCAGAAGGAAGATTGGGCAATCTACTTCCATTGTGACACCACCTCGAAACCCAAGGAGGGGTCACTATGAATTGGATCTGACTGGATGGCTGTAAGTTTGTTTGTTTTTTTTTTTTTTTTAACCCAGCTTAGGGAGGAGAAGGAGCCACGGGACCTGGTGGGCCCTTCACCTTACCTGGGTAGTTCTGGCAGCCCCCGGCGGTGGAGCCACGTGCCCAGCGGCCATTGAATAGGGCCAGGTTCCACTTCTGCACCTCCTCGCTGGTCAGCGAGTCAGGGGACAGGTTGCAGATCTCCAGCCGAGAGAACTGCCTCAAGAAATCTGAAAAGGACATCCTGGGGGTGGAGGAATAAAAGGCTTCCCGTCAAGAGAGGTAGGATAGAAAGGTGATGACACACAAGCTACTTGCCCAGGGAGGAGTGCTGTCAGTAGCCTTAAAGACCCTAGGCTAACTGAAGAGCTTTCTACACAGCTCACTGATACAACTACGCAGACCACTGGCCAACTTCCTCACAGCTGTTAGTTTCTCGATTCTTATTAGAGAGCCCCTCTCATATATCTAACTAACAATGCAAAAACTCTGAATCCTAAACTAGAAAAAACCCCAAGAGATCATCGGAATAAAGCCCCTACATTCGGGTTGTGGTTTTGTTCCTATTACCTGTTGTTGTTGTTAGTACCTTTTTGTTTTATCTCCCCATTTTGCCCTCTCCCCATGGTAACCACTACTATCCCCTGTATCCACTAATCTTATTTTACCTCGATGGATTTACCTACTTTAGATATTTCATAAGTGAGATCATACAATATTTGCCCTTTTGTGACTGACTCAGCATAATGTTTTCAAGGTCCATCTGTGTCATGGGAGCTCTGGTAGCATAGTGGCTAAAGCACTTGACTGCTAACCAGAAGGCTGGCGGTTCAAACCCACCAGCCACTCCTCGGAAGGAAGGTTGGGCAATCCTACTTCCGTAGTGATACTGCCTCGGAAACCCAAGGAGGGGTCGCTATGAGTTGGGGCCGACTCGACGGCACATAACAACAACAACAACAATCTTGTCATAACGTGTATCAGGAATTCATTTCTCTTTATGGCTGGTTAATATCCCATTGTATGGATATACCACATTTTGTTCATCTGTTCATCGGATGGCACTTATTTTGTTTCTACCTTTTGGCAATTGTGAATAGTGCTGCAATAATACTTGGTGTACAAGTATCTGTTTATGTCCCTGGGTTCACTTATTTGGGGTATATACCTAAGAGCGGAATTACTGGCTGATATGATAATTCTATGTTTAATTTTTTAAGGAATCACCAAATTATTTTCCACAATGGTGGCACCATTTTACATTCCTATTATCAGTGTCTATTTAATTCTTACTGATGTCCACCTTAAAGATGTCACCACCTTCTCTCAGTCATGCTACATTCAAGAAGTGTCCTTAGTATTGTCCTTAGCTCATCAGTGAAGGCAGCTCTATTTTGATGGTCAGCTAAATCATAGAGTGCTTCTAAACTAGACTTTAAAGAGATAGTGATACTGGTTTTATATTGTAAGAAGAAACAAAGAAACTGAGGAAGATAGGCTGATGGTGTATTCATGTTAAGGGCCCAAATATCTTATCTTCAAGACTTTAGACATGCTGCTATATTGAATGAGACAAGGACAAAAGAGGGAATAAAAATGAAACCTCCTGGCCAGGAAGCTTGTCACATTCCTGGAACAGTTAGAGCACATTCCACCCACCTCAGGGCCCAGGAAGGACACACGGCTAACAGGAAAGCTCTCTGGAAATAAAACTCTTACCAAAACTCCCCATCTTCAGCTTTCTTGTCCAGCTCTTCCTTCAGCATGGGGTCTATGTAATTCCACTCTGATGCACTGGAAAAGAACAAAGCAACAGGGGTTGTTCCTGAGCGGTTCTGCTGCAGCTCCAGCTGTTTACTGCAGCCAACTTCCCCCCAAGGGACCAGAAATGAAATGCTGAAAAAAAAAAAAACGAGAAGGAAGGTAGGAAGACAGTGTATGAGTCACAAAGTCTAGGGAAAGGATGCAGACTGGGGTCATGGACTGTCTGGGCAGCAAAAGGGTGACATATGATAGGAACACTGAGGCCATAGACCTTGCTCTAATGGTTAATGTGTTTGCTGCTAAACAAAGGGTTGGCAATTGGAATCTACCCAGGAGCACCTTGAAAGAAAGTTTAGTAATCTACTTCTGGAAAATGAGCCATTGAAAACCCTGTAGGGGAAAAATACAGAATAAAGTTTCAAACTCTCATTAAATCGAGATTTCCTGGAGCCATAGAGGATAGATGAAGCCCTGAAACCATTTCCCTGAGATAATCTTTAAATTATAAGCCAAAAATATCCCCTGAAATCTTCCTAAAACCAAACAATAGTCTAACTTAACTAGTAACGAACGTCTGCCTTGAGCATTATGGTCCTTTAAGATCTATCTGTGTGGGATCAAGTGGACAACAGCAACTGGAAAATTAATTAGGAACCTTGGGGGGCAGTGAATCTATGTCAATCGGGGAGGAACAACTCAGAAAAGGAAGGTGAGAAAGGTTGTATAACTGGAAGAATGAAATCCGTGTCACTGGAGTGTACGTGTAGAAACTGTCGAATTGGTTTATTTTTTGCTGTGTATATTCTCCATACAACAACAAAGTAAATTATAAAAAAAAGAAAGAAAGCCCTACACAGCACAAGTCTACTCTGACACAAGTCACCATGAGTTGTGGTTGACTGGTAGTCGACTGGTTGGCAACTAATTTTTATGGGCAAGTTTTGCATTTCTAATTGAGACTCACAGGCCCTTGGTAACAGGAATGTGGAGGTCCAAGACCAGAACTATGGAAAATCCTGTCACAAGAAAGGGAAGCACACCAGAATCAATTAGTAAACTGTCATGCTGGCCTCTTCATCAGTCTGGGGAAAGCATATTGTGAGAGTCTGAGCATCACTGGGTGCAAGCATGTGCTCCACTTGATGAGTCTGCAAGAATGACAATCAGGCTCAGTGTTGTGGTAAATTCCCTGAAGTGATGTCATCCTAGGAGGTCTCCTGCTGGTGGCCTTTCCATGGCAATACCCACTCCATCTCCACATACTGTATTCAAATGCCATCATCTCCAGCTACCTGACCTTTACAAAGTTAGGTTTTCCTGAAATATGTATGCAATGTCTAAATAACTGCAGCAACATGATCCATGTGAAAAATACCCTTCCTGCTGAATACTTTCAGCAAAACCAAAATGAAAGACATTCAGCTCCCCTACATGAAAGCTGAGACACACACAAGCCCAGTCTTTCTCCCTTCTCTCTGTCTCTGTCTCTCTCTCTTTCTCTCTCTGTGTCTCTGTCTCTATCTCTGTCTCCGTCTCTGTCTTTCTCTGTCTCTCTCTGTTTCTAGTTGTCTCTGTGTCTCTCTCTTTGTGTCTCTTTCTATCCCTTTCTCGGAGCTGTCTCTGCTCTGTCTCTCTCCGTTCTCTCTCTATCTCTCTCTCTGTGCTCTAAGTTCCCCTAGGAGATCAGGCAGAAGAGTTCCCAGGCCCTTTTTAATTCACTGAAACTTTAATTTGATCTGAACTGAATCTCAGAATGTGCTTGTAATAAACAAAGATTAGAGGACACGTTGAAGAATGTTAGATCTGACCAAAACCTCCCAGTTGGTTTTTTGAAATTAAGTTTTAAAAAGTGCATAAAAATGTAGACATTAGACTGAGCTTAGAAATGTTACCTCAGAGACACCCCCTCCCACCCCCACCTCCCCCCAAGCTGGTAGAGCATCCAGCCTCCTCATCAACCACCCTCCACACTCTCCCATGTTTCCCAGACTGTTAGAGACTCAGTGGCACCAGGAAAGGAGATAAAATCAAGTAAATCTTTTTGGCAGCCTGACAAATGACTATCAGTTAAAATGGCCAGAACTTGGGGGTTCTTTCTTTCTTTTTTTTTTATGTTTTATTATTTTTTTTGTTGTTGTTGAGAATATACACAGTAAAACACACCAATACCAGTTCAACAGTTTCTACATATGCAATGCAGTCACAATGATTACATTCTTTCAAGTGGTACAACCATTCTCACCAGAATTTGGGGTTTCAGTTTCACTCATGTCATCTTTTTTTGGCAGTTGGCAGAATTGAAGTTTGGAGTTTTCTTCCCTCTTAGGCAAAAAAATAAATAAACAAATAATCTTTGATATGAGGCCCAATCAATGCCCCTAGGGATGTGTGTTTCTCCATGACACAAACTTGAGGGAAAATATTACAGGTCAAAGCAGTAGTGATGCTGTGATTAAATATAATCAAGTTCCCTTAACCTTCAGGTCTGGAACTGAGCTCACTCCAGTGACTTCCAGTCAAACAATAGACTGGCATATGGGGTGAATGTTTACATCAGGTAGATACACTCCTTGGAACAATCAACCACAGGAGAATAGAAGGGCAGTGTTTGCACAGGGAGACAGCTGGAGGGGGGTATGGGAGGGAAGGACACAGAGAAGAGGTAACTATGGGGAGGAAGTAGGAAGAGAGCTGTTACATTGTGGGGAACTGTAGTCAATGTCATGAGACAAAATATGTATGAACTGCTGCTTAGAAAATGAATTTGCTCAGTAAAATTTCACCCAAATCCCAATAATTTTTTTTTTTAATGTAATCAAGTTCCCTTCAAAGGTCCTAAATGCCATCACTGAGTAGGGATAGTGTCAATGGGTACACTCGAAGCTTATGGACATATTTTCACTGTTGCTGTCATGTGCCATAAAGTCATTTCTGATTCATAGCAACCTTATAGGACAGAGTAGAACTTCCCCAAAGGGCTTTCTAGGCTGTTAATGGGAGAATATCACCAGGTCTTTCTTCTATGGAGCCACTGGTGGATTCGAACCACCGACCTTTTGGTTAGCAACTGAGCACTTAACTGTTGTGCCATCAGGGTGTATTGGGAATCTGACCAGTGGCATCTCTGGTGACTTTATGTTGATGATCGTGGTGAATTCTAACTCCTTCCCCAGCTTCAATCCTCCTCCCTTGTGCCAGGTCCATGCCTTCCCTCCTCCTGCCCCTGGCACATTCATTCCAAGGCATAGCTGACCCTTGACATCACAGGAGGCCTCAGGTGGATTGCAGGCACCATCTCTGACTGACTTTCTTTCACCAGTGGAGACACCTGCCCAAGAAGTTCCTCTCCAGTCATTATTGATCTTGTCAGGGAAGATCAATATCTACCCCAGTAATGAGCTCCACTCCCATACATCATGCTGCTATGGCCCGTGGGCACCTAGGATCAAGTTCCATTTTCTAAGTGTCATTTCCACTCGGTGCTGAGGGGTTTGGCCTTTGTCAGAGTGACCAGGGTTTGTGGAGTGGAAACAATCCAATTGTGAGTGATCGATTTGACCTTTGGATCACCACGGTGAGGTAGGCAAGAGATGGGCAAACCTTCACATCGAAGCAAAATTTGACTGAGCTGCCAGACTTCTAAATGCCAGGGCTGAAATCCAGAATCAAAGACTACAGCGAAGTGGGTTTTGTTTTGCTTCTCCCAGCCCAGAACAATTTACTACTCTTTTCTGAGCACACTGTGTAATTTGTGGGCAGGCAATGCTGCTAAATTCCCTGTAATGGCAGTCTCGTCATAATTGTATACTTTACATAATGCCTTTCCTCCAGGAGGGACTATGTCGGGTTGGGCTGAGAGACAGGACCTACGTACTCATCACTCCAGGCTCCTGTCCACTCCACTTTGCCCCACGGATTCCTGAGTCGGATCAACTTCTCTGGATGGCCACGGAAATCCACCTGCAATTCCCACACAGAAAAGGCACATCAGGCGCCAAGTTACTGAATTCCTGCTGTCCTGCATTTACATTGTGCCAGAGAGGATTTGCATAAAATTGTTCAAACATCCCTAAACAAGCGCACTTTTATTTTCTCTTAACACATGTTTTCAGGTTTTTGCCAAGTGCTCTATTTTTCCCAATTGTGTTGAATAAATGAAGAGTGAGTCTAGTACAAAAACAAATTTATGGCTGCTTTCACTTAGATTTAAATTTTATAGTTCACTAAGATTGACTCAGCCCTAATGTATGGAACCTAATGATAATTTCCACCACCCATCAGTCAGTTTGTCCTACTGTGGTGGCTTCGTGTTGCTGTGATGCTGGAAGCTCTGCTACCAGTATTTCAAATACCAGCAGGGTCACCCATCGTGGACAGGTTTCAACAGAGCTTCCAGACTAAGACAGACTAGGAAGAAAGGCCTGAAAATTAACCAGTGAAAACCTTCTAGACCACAAGAGAACACTGTATGACTTTGGACACACCATCAGGAGAGATCAACTGCTGGAGAAGGATATCATGTTTGGTGAAGGAGAGGGCCTGTGAGGTGAGGGACGCTCCTCATGAGATGAATTGGCACAGTGGCCACAATGATGGACTCAAACACACTGGTAACTGTGAGGATGATGTAGGGCTGGGCAATATTCCGTTCTATTATAAATAAAGTAACCATGAGTCAAAGCCAACTCAATGGCAGTAATAAATGTGCTCTAAACAAATACTTATAGTACAGCAACCAGCATTTATTCAGTGCAAACTACGGGCCAGTCACTGTGCTAAGTATTTCAAACACACTATAAACTAAAACCAAACTCACTGCCATCCAGTTGATTCCAGATCATAGTGACCCCCGCTGGGTTTCCAAGACAGTAAATCTTTACAGAAGTAGATTGCCACATCTTCCTTCCACAGAGCAACCTAGTGGGTTTAAACCACCAACCTTCTGGTTAGCAGTCAAATGCCTTAGGCACTGTGCCACCAGAGCTCTTTAAAAATATTATAAACAGAGAAAATATTGGAAGTTGTCAGGAATTTCATTTTTCTTGAATCCACAGCCAGTGCCCATGGAAGTAGCAGTCAAGAAACTAAACAACATATTGCATTGGGTGAATCTGCTCCAAAAGATTTCTTTAAAGTGTTAAAAACCAAAGTCCTTGAAGACTAAGGTATCTGATCTAAGCCATGGCATTTTCTATTGCTTCATATGCATGTGAAAGCTGGACAATGAATAAGGAAGACCACAGAAGAATTGATGCATTGGAATTGTGGTGTTGGCAAAGAATATTAAATATACCATGGACTGCCAGAAGAACAAATGAATCTGTCTTGGAAGAAGTACAGCTAGAATGCTCCTTAGAAGCAATGATGGCAAGACTTCATGTCACATACTTTGGTATCTTATCAGGAGGGACCAGTCCCTGGAGAAGGACATCAAAGTTGGTAAAGTAAAGTGTCAGGGGAAAAAAGAAAAGGAAGAGCCTTAATGAGATGGATTAACACAGTGGCTGTAACGATGGGTTCGAACATAGCAATGACTGTGAGGATGGCACAGGACCAGGCAGTGTTTCATTCTGTTGTACATAGGTTGCCATGAGTCAGAACCAACTTGACAGCACCTATTAATGGAGAACAGAGAGCTGAAATGTCAGTTCTGGTCCTCTTAATCTCTGACTATCTCTCTTTTTCTCTCAGAGATGCCCTGGATCCATACCAATATTATTACATATTACCCTCCACCACCACCACCCAGCTTATTTTACCTCTTCAACCCCTGTGACAGAGTATGCATGACTCTTAACCAGCCTCCGGCTAGTGATGGCTTCTGTTTCAGCTGCACTGGAGACCTAGGTTGAGAATAAAGTCCACTCAGGGAGACTAACCTTAACTTCACTGTGATCACTATGATGTCTTTCAAAGACATGATACTCAGCCAGGGGAATGGGACCCAGAGGGATTGGGAGTGCAGTTATGGCACTGAGCTGCAGATAAATAGAGCCATCTCCATTCAATTCCTTCTTTAACTAGACCTGCAGGTACTGGGTGGCTGCCAAGGCTAGAATATGACTTGCCAGGGTTTAAAATGCCACCAGGATGCTGGGAAGTCATATATTCTTGAAAATGACCCTGTGCTGCCCAAGGAAGACAGAGTTCCATGACAGCTGGTCTGGACTAGTCTTGGTCCTCCAACGTTTTCCCCAAGAGTGCATCCCAGTCATCCTTCCTCTGTGACCCTGCCTCCCTTCCCCATGCCCATATCTCCTCTCCTTGAGCAACATACATTTCCTGCTGGGATTTTTTATAGAGAGGCAAAATGGAGGATAGTCTTGCTTTGTTGTTCACATGCCTGAGATCACTAGTAAGGGCCAGAGAGGAAAGAAGGGCATCAGGAGGGACAGGGGACAACCAGACTCCCAAGACAGATGATCTCCAGGCTTTGGTCTCCATGGCCACTTTAGAATCCATTCCGCCATCTCTCTTGTTGAACTATGACCCCCCGGTGTCAGATCTCTTCCCTTTTCTTCAGAGATCTCAAAGTCCACCAAATATAATTAATCATCACATTTGGTTTCCAAAATCCCAAGAGCACTTAGCAAAACAAAACCAAAACAAAACCCACTGCCATCAGCTTGATTCCAATTCATAGCAACCCTATAGGACAGAGTAGAACTGCTCCCACAGGGTTCCCAAGGATGTAAATCTTGGAAGCAGACTGCTTCATCTTTCTCCCATAGAGCAGCAGTGGATTTGAACCACCAACCTTTTGGTTAGTAGTTGAATGCCTTAACTACTGAGGCACCAAAGCTCCTTAACAAAAGGTGGTGGCAAAGATAGGCCTAGGATCCAGAAACAAAGGGAAATATCAGCAGTATTAAAGGGGCTCTACTGTTAGCTCGGGATCTCTGGTAGCATAGTGGCTAAAGCACTTGACTGCTAACCAGAAGGCTGGCAGTTCAAACCCACCAGCCACTCCTTGGAAGGAAGGTTGGGAAATCCTACTTCCGTAGTGATACTGCCTCGGAAACCCAAGGAGGGGTCACTATGAGTTGGGGCCAACTCGACGGCACATAACAACAACAACAACTGTTAGCTTTGGTGGTGTAGTGGGTAAGGCTGCTAACCAGAAGGTTGGCAGGTCAAACACACTAGCTTCTCCATAGAGGACAATGAGGCAATCTATTTCTCTTAAGATTTACAGCTGTGGAAACCCAATAGGAGTTACTATGAGTCAGAACAGACTCAATGGCAGTGGGTTTTTGTTTTTGTTTTTTACTGTTGTTGTTAGGTGCTGTCCAATTGATTTTTAATTCATTGTGACTCCATGTGACAAAGATAAATCCTGCCCCCACAAGATTTTCTAGGCTATAATCTTTACTTGGGAGCTCTGGTAGCATAGTGCCTAAGGCATTTTGACTGCTAACCAGAAGGCTGGCTTGTTGAACTATGTTCAAACCCACCAGCCACTCCTTGGAAGGAAGGTTGGGCAATCCTACTTCCATAGTGATACTGCCTCGGAAACCCAAGGAGGGGTCGCTATGAGTCGGGGCCGACTCGACGGCAAATAACAACAACATAATCTTTACTTGGTCATGATGTTAGAAGGAACCATTCTCTGCAGAAGGATGTCATGCTTGGTAAAGTGGAGGTCAACGAATGAGAGGAAGGCCCTTGACACGATGGATTGACATGGTGGCTGCAGCGATGGGCTCAGGTATAGTAGGGATCATGAGGCTGGTACAGGACCAGGCATTGTTTCATTCTGTTGTAAATAAGTCCCTATGAGTAAGAGATGACTCGATGGCACCTAACAACAACAACAATCTTTTCTGAAGCAGATCACTAGATCTTTTTCCTGTGGGGCTGCTGGGTGAGTTCAAACTGCTAATATTTAGGTTAGCAATCTAGTGCTTAACCATTGCACCCACAAGGGGCTCTATGTTGTTGTTGTTGTTGTTGTTGTTGTTATGTGCCATCGAGTCAGGCCCAACTCATAGCAACCCCTTCGGTTTCTGAGGCAGTATCACTATGGAAGTAGATTCCCCAACCTTCCTTCCGAGGAGTGGCTGGTGGGTTTGAACCGCCAGGCTTCTGGTTAGCAGTCAAGTGCCTTAGGCACTACGCCACTAGAGATCTATGGCACAGGTAAAATTGGCCTCCTCGGCTAGAAAAACCCATTCCCCACTTACTGATTAGGTCTTAGATGGTCCCTGGGTGACATAAAAATGTTTGTGTTCACTTGATAATCTAAAGGTTGGCATTTCAAACCTACCCAGTGACACCACTTAAGACACTTAAGAAAGGCCTGGCAATCTGCTTCCATAAAGATTACAGCAAAAAAAAAAAAAAAAAAAAAAAAACCCTATAGAGAAGTTATACTCTGTATCATGTGGGGTCACCATGAGTTAGAATCAACTCAAAGGCAATGGGTTTGTTTTAATTAGATCTTAACCAGGTCTTGAGTGCTGGGGACCAATGTGTCATTAAACTTGCCCATTAACTCCCACACTCTTCTTCTGGCCTGCTCTGGATCAAAGCCTTCCCAGGCCTCCCTCCCCCCAGCCAATCCCTTCCCACCACACATGGGGAGCAAAGAGACACTGTCTGGCTCACATCAATGGAGCAGCCCAGTAGAGACCTAGCGCGGAGGGCCTTCCGGATGATCTGATACAGGTTGGCTGGTGGCTTCCTCAGGTCATAAAACTCAGAGATGCCGCCCGTGAAATCCTCAAACCCTTCGACTGTGGACCCTCCAGCAAGAGCTTCATAAGAACCATTGAGTCTGGCAGGGGAAAAAAAGAAGAAGAAAAGAAAGAAAGAAAAAACCACCACCCACAGTGGTTAGCCACGCCAGCGAGGAGTCAACACGGGCTGGGCAATGGTGCTCAGGACACACAGTGAGCCAACTCAGCACTTTAGTAGGAGCAAGTCTCAGACTACTCCTCACCAAGCTGCATCTCCTTTAGAGAGCAAAGCACAACCTTTGCAGAACTGACCCAGTCTTCCTAGGTTTCTGGGGCCTGGGGCCATGGGTAGAGGTGAGGGAGACCTTCTCTCAAGGCTGAGAGGCATCCACCTGAGGATTACACTGAGAACAGTTTTGGAAAGGAACTCAGGTTGCAGAAAGGGTATCAGAAAATCAGACTCATTATAAGAGCCCAAAAGAAGGCTTTGAGTATCCATTGCCAGTGGGAAAGGAAAAGGCTCCTGAGAAAAAGGTGGAGACTTTGTTAGGTAACATATCCAAGTACATTTTATTTAATCATTATTCACTGTTCTTTTAAAAGTTCACAATGACCTAAGGGCTTACTTTGGGGTGTGAAAAAGGAAAGAACTCAGATACAGAAAGGCTAGGTGGTTTCATGGGAGACTCACATTCATGTGAGACAGAGCTGAGGTTTTTAACTCCTGACTCAAATTTCTGTTTCTTCCTAGTTACTGAGGGATGCTTTCTCTTCAGCATACAGGGGGTCTCAGGTGCTGGGAAAGACTTGGACATGTCATCTTAAGAAGGACGGACAGGTGATGACATCCTTCGAGGAGACCCTGGATTCTTCTTAGCTCCTAACCGTCCCCACTTACTTGGCATAGGCTTTCTCCAGAAGAGCGCTCCAGAACTCACTGCCTTCTTCAGAGTGCAGGAAAAGAAGCTCCCCATCCTTGGTGGGCAGCCTGTCATCAATGACCACCTCAACCCACTCGCCGTACTGCCAGAACTGGGGGCAGGAAAACACAGTGGCTGCACATGGGAATAAGCCAACGTGAAGAACAAGTCTCCTCAGCACACCTCAAAAAGGAGACTTGGTTGTTTCCAAGTTTTGGCTATTGTAAATAGTGCTGCGATGAACATCGGCGTGCATACATCTGTTCTTGTTATTAAATTTTGGTCAATGACATGAGACAAAGTATATGTGAACTGCTGTATGAAAAGTGAATTTACTCTGTAAATCTTCACCCAAATCCTAATAAAAAAAAAAAAAAAAAAAAAAAAAAAAAAAAAAGGAGACTTGGCCAGCAACAGCCAAGTCATGGACGTTTAATGAACTCTAAGCTCTGTAAGAGTAGGACCCATGTCTTACATGTCCATGCACAAACACACTGCTATCGAGTCAATTCCAACTCAGTAACAGAGTAGAACTATCCAATAGGGTTTCCAAACTTGTAAATCTTTACTGAAGTAGACTGCCTCATTGTTCTTCTGTAGAGCAGCTGGTGGTTTTGAACTGCCAAACTTCTGGTTAGCAGCCTCATGCTTTAATCAAAACCAGACTGCCTTTGCATGTATGTAACAGAAACCAAATAGTGTGTAGGAGCAAGAAACACCTAGTCCAGTCTCTGAGTCTGTGGGTAAGAAAATTTTCTCAGTCTCACACAGTGGCAACATTATGTTGACACAGAGTCACATTCCCCGACTCTCAAAATAAAGTGTTTTCCTCAAGTTGCCATGGGGAAGTGAATAAGGAGAGGGGATGGATATGTGCATTAAAGCAGAGGTTCTCAAACTTAAGTGTGCATCACCATCACCTGGAGGGCTTGTTAAAATGCAGTTGTCAAACTAAAATCCCAAACCAGGTGCCATCACGTTGATCCATAATCATGGCTATCCCATGTGTTTCACATTAAAACTGTGCTCATAGAGTTTTCAATGAGTAATTTTTCAGAAGTAGATCACCAGGCCTTTTTTCTGCGGTGCCTCTGGGCAGAATCAAAGCTCCACCCTTTAGGTTAGCAGCAGAGACCATTTATGTTAGAACCTAGCAACTCCAAAATGTAGGTGATTGTTTCTTGGGGATGTGATCAAGTTGATTCCAACTCATGGTGACCTCGTGTCATAGAGTAGAAGTGCCCCATAGGGTTTCCAAGGCTGTAATCTTTGCGGGAGCAAATTGCCAAGTCTTTCTCCTACAGAGCCACTGAATAAGTTCAAACTGCCAACCTTCTGGTTAGCAGTTGAACACTTAATCATTGCACCCCTAAAAACCCACTGCCATTGAGTCCATTACAAGTCAGAGTGACCCCCATTGGGTTTCTGAGGCAGTAAATCTTTATGGAAGTAGATAGTTCCATCTTCCTTTAGAGTGGGTTTGAACCACCAACCTTCTGGTTAGCAGTTAAGTGCCTCAGGCCCTGCACCACCAGAGATCCTTATTATACCCCTCAAACCAAAAAAAAAAAAAAAAAAGCCAAACTCACTGCCATTGAGTCAGTTCCAACTCATAGCGACCCTCATTGGGTTTCCAAGGCAGTACATCTTTATGGAAGTAGAGTACCCCATCTTCCTTCTGTGGAGTGGCTGGTAGGTTTGAACCGCCAGCCTTCTGGTTAGCAGTCAAATGCCTTAGGAACTACACCACCAGAGCTCCTTTATTACATCCCTAAACTCACACTCATTGCCATCGAGTTGATTCTGACTGATAGTGAGCAGATTGCCCCTTTGGATTTCTGAGGCTGTAAATCTTTATGGAAGTAGATTGCCCAATCTTCCTTCCACAGAGTGGCTGGTGGATCTGAATCACCAACCTTCTGGTTAGCAGTCAAATGCCTTAGGCACTATGCCACCAGAGCTCATTTTATTACACCCCTGGGGCTCCTAAAATATTACACCCCTCAAACCAAAACCAAACTCACTGCCTCTGAATCGGATCCGACTCATAGCAACTCCTCCTTAGGTTTCCAAGGCAGTATCACTATGGAAGTAGATTGCCCAACCTTCCTTCTGGGGAGTGGCTGGTGGGTTTGATCCACCAGCCTTCTGGTTAGCAGTCAAAAACCTTAGGCAACCCTAGGGCTCCTAAAATATAGGGCCCCAATCCCAGAGTTTCTGATTCAGTAGGTCTGGGAGGACCCACGAATAAAGAAAATAGTGTCAAGGAGCAAGAGCAAGGCACAATACCTGAAAGTGAAAGATTCCGGCATAGTTCTCCTGGAAGCTCTGATCCTTAGGAACAACTCGGTACAGCAGCTCTTCATTCAAGGTGAGGGAGGCAATGGCCGCCAGAAGCCAGCAGTCACCTGCACAATGTCATGGGAAGCACACACTGGTCAGCCAGGCCTGCAAGTCCCTGCTTTATGTGGCTCTCTGTCCTATTCAATCCAGAGTCCACATCACATCCTCCTTTCTACATCAGAACATTGGATTCTACACCTCTGCTGTCTCACATGCACAGGCAGCCATCAGGTCTTGATGCCTCTTTGTTGTTCTTGTTGTTATTTTGCCATCAAGTCGGTCCTGACTCATAGAGACCCCTCCTTGGGTTTCCAAGGCAGTATCACTACAGTAGATTGCCCAACCTTTCTTCCGAGGAGTGGCTAGTGGGTTTGAACCGCCAGCCTTCTGGTTAGTAGTCAAGTGCCGTAGGCACTATGCTACCAGAGCTCCTGATGCCTCTTTAGCAGTTATTTACTCAGGATTGGAAACTCTCTGCTCTTCCCTAACCCCACGTTCTGGTCATTTTACATCTCCTAGACCTGGTAGCATAGTGCCTAAGGCACTTGACTGCTCACCAGAAGGCTGGCGGTTCAAACCCACCAGCCACTCCTTGGAAGGAAGGTTGGGCAATCCTACTTCCGTAGTGATACTGCCTCGGAAACCCAAGGAGGGGTCGCTATGAGTCGGGGCCGACTCGACGGCAAACAACAACAACAACAACAGACAACCAAGGAGTTCTGGTAGGATAGTGGATAAGGCATTTGGCTGCTAACCAGAAGGTCAGTGGTTCAAACCCACTAGGTCCTCTGCAGAAGGAAGAGGGGGTAATCCACTTCCATGAAGATTTATAGCCTTAGAAACCCAAAGGGGGTCGCTATGAGTCAGAATTGATTCTATGGCAGTGACTTTAGATACTCAACCAGTGGAGTGAAAAGTGGAAAGAAATCAAAAGAAAGAAAAATCAATCCATTTTGTCCTTTTTAGTAACTCTGGTGAATCATTTGATTGGGAAAAGCTGTGAAGCTATTTGGCCAGCCAAGAATGTGTGTGTATGTATGTGAGTGTGTGTGCATATGTATGTGTGCATTTGTGTGTGTAGGTGAGTATGTGTATGTGAATGCATATGCATGCATATGTGTAAGTGTGTGTATGGGGTGTGTGTATGTGTGTATGTCAATGTGTGTGGGGATTATATGTATGTATGTGAGTGAGTGTGAGTATGTGTGAGTGTATGTGTATGCATGCATCTGTGTGGATGTAAATATAGAGTGTTATGTGTAAATGCACATATGTGTGTGTGTCTGTCTATGCTCTTCACCCTTTGTGACTTGGATAATGGTGAGTTGGCTCTACCTGGTCTGTTCAGAGCACTCCCTTTCATGTTTTATGACTAGGGCATAGTTTTCACACACTTTTCCTTGATGCTTCATTCATTATAACACTTTTGAGATATTAATTAAATCATCATAGTTTAGAGTGGAAGAAATTAAAGTCAAGAGAGGTCAAAAATCCTACTGCCTGATGTTGGTTACTTTGGAGTTTCAAGTAAATGCAGAAGAAAACCCCTTTCTGTGAGAGTTAGATGTTTCCTTGGAAGAGATCATTGTCCGTTTTGGTGTCAACTTCAAAAGCATAAACTCCAAGCACCCCTTGCTTACCTTAACTTCCTCTGATGGATCTATCATCCTGGAATATATGTAAAATCTTCTCAGATCAATTTATATGCTTATTCAACACCAACCTCTGAGACCTTGATGTCCTTAAGTGTGTTTCTCATTGTGTGAAAGAATATTTCCTCTTATTGGCCCAGTAGCTGTCTCCCTCCAGCTTCACCAGAGAGCCCTGGCTCTAGACATCTAGGGTTTTGGTCAACACGTTCCTGTTCCTCCTATTCATTACATTCAAATACCTCCAAAATCCTCCCTGGTATCTCAGTCCTCATCTTTTCCATGTAAAATATCTGAACTTTTTCAATGGAAGTCCCTTTACCCTTTTAGACACTTTTCTCAGGACCTTGCCTACTCTGTTTTTCTTTTAACACTGTAGGTAGCAAAGCTGCATATATATTGCAGGTGTGAACACACCATGGTTTCCTTAGACTCAGGTTGCCTGAGCAAACAGTAAGTAAATTGTGACCCAGAAACCTACATGGGAGGATCCATCATCGCTCAGAACCACTCCAGGTCATCCTGGGAAGCCCTTTGTTCTTTCTGCCCTTATCTTTCTCAAGAGAGGCTCATGATTTGGTTCTAAATCCATTTCTTTCCTCCTCCTTTTCCCAACTCCCAGTCTCTCTCTCTCTCTCTCTTCCTTTATCTCTCTCTCTCTCTCTCTCCCACACACACACACACACACACACACACATGCACAACTACTTCCCGAAGTCTATCTAACCCAAGAGTCAATGCTGCTTCCCACCCCTTTTCTCATCAGGCTCCATTTCACTAGCAAACACCATCTTCATAATGGCAATAGGGCTCCAGAGTGAAACTAGCTCCCGTGGTCAGTGGAGAGAATCGATATGGACAGGCCTGGGTTGTATTGCCTCCCACCAAAGAAGACTCAAGTAGGACAGTAACTCATTAAAAGGCAACTTCCAAAGAGTGAGTAAAAAAGAAACACTGATTCCCTCCTCCCACCCAGCAACTCTTTCTCTAGTATTCTTCCTACTGATACCTATGATCATGTCATTCCTCTGCTCAAAACACTCAACCATCCTCCACTGCTTAACAATGAAATAAAAATGCCTAACAGGGTATTAAGACTATTTACAAAAGGTGAGAGACAGGACACAAATAGATGTATGCACACCCATATTCATTGCAGCATAATTCACTACAGCAAAAGAGATGGAAACCACACAAATGCCCATCAACAGATGAATGGATAACCAAACTATGGTACATTCATACAATGGAACACTATGCTACATTAAAGAACAATGAAGGATATGTGAATCATCTCGCCATGTGGATGAACCTGAAGGACATTATTCTGAGTGAAATAAGTCAATTGCAGAAGGACAAATATTGTATGAGCCCATTACTATAAAAAGACAAGGAAGGGTTTGCTTAGGGAAGGGAACTCACTTTGTAGGTTACCAGGGATGGGAAGGAAGGGAAAGGAATAATTTTGGACTAGATGGGGACCACACACTGAGTTGGGTAAGGAGAGGATTGGTATGGAAAGAGTCTGTGACTACCATGATAATGGAAAAGGGAGGACACCGAATTGTGCATATAAGATATAGATGACAGAGGCAATACCAGTATATCCACAATACTGCATCACCATTAACACCAAATACCACGCTACATATAAACACATAGACAACTGAGAAAATCAGATAGGGATCAGTGAACAGGATTATACTCTAGATCAAAGATAGATTCAGCTGAGACTAATCTTGTACACGTACTACTGATACAAAATACCCACAATTGTTACAGAAACAACAAAAGACAGACCCAGAGAAGTCCCTCATAGACAGCCAGACACTGTGGGAGAGAGATCCACTGGATCCTCTGACTCAGGACCATAGTACTGGGGAACACCAGACTCAATTGGCACAACAAAATACACAAAAATCTTGTTCACAATATACTTTGGTGAGTAGTGCCTGGGGTCTTAAAAGCTTTCAAGCAGCTGTTTAAGATGTAGCTAATGGTCTCCTATTGTCAAAAGCGAAGAAGAATGCAATAAACCAAGGGCATTTTGAAGGAATCAGCCCTGGGACATGATGGATCTTGAGACCAGAACTAGATGGTGCCTGGCTACCAATGCCAACCACTTGGAAAAGGATCAAAACTGGAGATCCTGGATAGAGTGGGAGGAAAAACGTGGAACAAATTCCAAAAACACAATAATGACCAGAATTACTGGTTGAATGGAGGCTGGTGGGACTCCCAAGACTATGGCCCTGGGATATACTTCGGGCCTGGGATAAAACTCACTTCCAAGGGCTGGCTCTCAGCCCAGTAGTAAATAAGACTTATGTGCAGAACACTCAAACCAGGGTGATGCACCCACCTCCTCTATGGAGATGCATGCCTTGGAGCAACTGGCCATGGGGCACCAGAGGGGCAACAGTCACACATAGGAAAAGCTGGATAGACAGGAGTGCATAACTAAGAAGGGCTCAGGGAGGGGAATGGTTACTGGGAAGAGAGAGGAGAGTGAGTTAGGGTTGAGGATGGTAATTGGGGAGTGAAACCAAATGTACATGAAATATTGAGTGTAAAACAAATTCTGCTCTGTAAATTTGCACCTAAAGCATAATAAAAGAAAAAAAATTAAAAAGACCCTTTACAAATGACTGTAAACTATCGCTCCAGTCTTTTTCCCCATAAACTCCCCACCATGAATATAGTCCTCCCATCAAACTGGAATATGTGAAAACTATGCCCTGGTCTTTTTTCTGCATCCATGATTCTGCTCATTTTTTCCCTCTGTTGCAAAGTCCTTCCTCCAACTTCTCCTGCTGAATCTTAACCCTTCTCCATGAAGCCTTTCCTGATGCTTACAACCCTACAGCCAAAAGTCATGTCTTTTTCTCTGTGTTCCCTCAAGACCTTATTTATACTTCTCTTGCACACTTATCTAGAGTCCCTGAGTGGTGTAAATGGGTAAGCATTCAGCTACTAATCAAAAGTTTGGAGGTTTGAATCCACCCAGAGGCACCTTGAAAGAAAGGCCAGACAATCTATGTCCAAAAAACCTGCCATTGAAAACCCTGTGGAGCACAGTTCTACTCTGACACACATGGGGTTGCCATGAGTTAAAATAGATTCTGTGGCAACTGGTATTGTTTTGTTTTATTTCAGGGCACTAATCACAGGCTGCCTCAAATCATAGTTATCACCCGGATAGGACTCCAACTCCATCCTTGCATCAACTACTTGCTGGAGCTTTCCTTGATCCTACACTGATCTGCCTCTCCATCCCCAAGCACTCCCTCCCCAGAGCTCCCCAGCATGCTCCTGGGCCACTTGTTTGGAATGGTTTCTCTCTTCCCCAGATCCTCTCCCATCTTTTCTTACAGAGCAGGGATGTTGATTCATTCATCTTGGTACCCGCAGCATAT